AGGTACCAAACTGGGTCTCCAGCAAGAGGGAGGGATTCTCCAAGCAGACCTTATTCCCCTTCAGAAAACCGCCTTTCACAACAGCAGCAGTCCACTAAGGGTAGACATATGTACCAACAGTCTGTGTCTTCAAGAACTATTTCAGCATCTTCCCCATCTGAATACCAGGTATTTGTGAAGGGGCATGGACCTGGGGGGAGACAAAGTCCGCCCGCAAAGCATAGTCAATCACTGAATAGATTTCATAAAGGTCCTAATCAACTAAGAAGGCAGAGCAACAGTGCATCTCAAAGTCATAGTTCCAATCAGACCTTCTCCATGCAGAGACATTTGAGAAAAGGGCAAGTTTTTCATGACCAGAGAGGTAGTATGGTTGCAGGAGCCACACATGAAGAAAATGTTGATAGAAGTAGTCTTGGTAGACATCCTGTAAGATCTGGTAAGGGGAAGTGGACCAGTACACCAATGGGCAATATCTAAGATTTAATCACAGCTTAATATATTTTAGTACATTTTATCAGAGAATTGATTATTATTATTATTATTATTATTATTATTATTATTATTTCAAGATTCCCTATGCAAATCATGCATATTTGTCAATATTGGAGCTTAGATTTAAGTAACATTTAAGTTAATGAAATTTTTTTAACTATAATTTGATAATTAAGTGCACATTTATCTTTGAAAATGATTAGTAAGTATATTAAAAAATAAAATGATAATATGGAAGTATTTAAAAGGGATGTCCCTGTTCTGTCATTTGTAAAAGGGCATTTTCAGTTGCTGATAACATATCCCTTAATGTAGTGAATAGTTTTTTTCCTCAGTAATACCATATCAGTTTATCATCATGTTACCCAATGTAAACTTAACTAAGTTAAACTGCTACTAAATGAAACATGCCATTAATATTCGGTAATTATAATGAATAATAATTGCTATATTTAGTGACCATTGATTGGCCTTGAAAGGCAAAGATGCAGACAACACCTTGCTAGAAATTTGTAAATCTTGAAAAAAAATGCAGACATGGATAGGACCTTTATTTAAGTAATACGTTGGTTATCTAGTCATATAAAGACACTATTGTGTACACATCAGGCTTAAATGCATTACTTTTACTAACAGTTTAACTTTGGAGCCACAGATTTGCCTAAAATGGCAAATGTTTGGACAATGTCTTAATTGCTATAGTTGAGATTAAAAAAAAACACTGACAATTAAAGAAGACATACCCTGTCATTTATGTTGTGGGTGGGGTAAATATGTGTGAATAAATTTGCTGTTGATCTTTACTTGTTTGTATTTTGAAAATGTCTTTCTTGGGTGTGGTATTTTTCTTCTTATACTTAAAAAAGACACTCAAATCTAACAAAAAATCGAAAGGCATGAAAATGTCTTTAATGTACTAGAAATATAATGCTGCCAATGTAGAATTAGTTATTATCAAATGTAGAATTAGATATTGGCAAATGTATTCACACTCATAATTCATAATTTAATTGATGAAAATTGCCCTTTGAACTATGAAGAATATGCCAAATTTGAGCTTTTTTTTGCGAGATGTGTAGGTGCAAATGGAAAGCAACAACGAAATTTCAATAGTGAAGAATCTTGCACCATTTATGTATCCGTCGAATTGTGTTAGGACGTGTTACTGAACTGTAATAGTGGTGAAGCACCTTATCAGGTTGTTGGGGCTGGTTTTTTTTTTTTTTTTTTTTTTTTTTTTTTTTTTTTTTTTTTTTTTTTTTT